AAAGTTTTTGGAAGATTTCAAAAGTGTTGAGCAATGTTTCAGGGTATGCCAAGTTCAGGGCATATATCAGTCCCATTAGCAGCGAGCAGGCTTTTACAATACTGTTGCACCCTGCCAGAATGGCTGTCATTGGGACTACCTCTTGCTCTGTGTGTGATCCTGTAACATCTAGACACCAAGCAGAATAAGTCCTGCTGTAAACTACAGTGCGCATGTGCTGTGAGTGCGTTCAAAACGCTACATTTTTGGAGTAAAGTTTATGTAGTATTTTTAGGTTTATGTACATAATGCTATTAAACATTTAAATAATATAAGGNGGCTCACAAGGGCTGCTGGTGCCTAACTCCAGATGTCTATGGGCGAGAGACGGGGTACACCCTGGACAGGTCGCCAGCCTATCACAGGGCAACACGGAGACAAACAGGACAAACAACATTAATGAAAAAAGCTTATAGAAATATAGCATTATAGTTAATGTTATTATTATGTTATAGTGCATTAGAATTTGTACCAAAAAAAAAGATAAGGTTGGCATGACTTGTAAACAACAAATGCTAAGTATTTTGTATAAACCACATCCAACACAGATCTGGTAATATAGTCACTACTCAAATATGTGATAAAAATCATACAAACCTACACACTGAAACGGTGCAATTTCAACATTAAAACCAGTTGTCCAGACTACTGGACTTCTAAGAATGCAATTAAAACATTAATGAAACAAAATTAACAAAATCAGAAATTAGAAAACATTGGTTATTGTCCCTGATGATTCAGTCACAGGGAATAAAAAGTACTTGGGTGATTTAGGCCAATCTGCTAAGCCAAGTCTTAGAAACTTGGGAGTTATTTGACAAAGATTTCAATCTGAAAAATCACACAAAGAGAAAAGACAATTAGAAGAAATGTATTCATACAATTACTTTGTCTTTGACCTCGGCAGGAAACATAGAACTTAATTTTGATAGATATGCATGAACAGGAGCAAAGAATAGGGCTGTTTCCTCCCAGGCCTTAAACTGGTGGTGGAGTGGAGATAGATAATGTTGGTCAGTCTGTAGACTGCTGGTTAGACGGTATGCTGAGCCTTATGGGGAGATCCAGCGGACTGCGTTAGCTGATACTAGAGCTTCACTCAGGGACCTGGAAGATGGAAGTCCAGTTGGATAACACAGGTTGAGAGAACCTGTCCATGATGAGTAGGCATGAAGCGACAGTGGAGAGGAAAAACTCCCTGTTGGGAAGAAGCCTCTGGCAGAACCAGGCTCAACATGGCAGTCTTCTGTCAGACCGGTTGAGATGAGACGGGGAATGCAGTAAGAGTCCAGGAGGAATGACACTCTAATGAAGCTTTAGCTACGATGGTGGAGGAGGGCCTGGAGGTTGGTTGAAACGCAGTCATCTAAATGAAGTCACAGAGCCCAACACCGCCTGCACACAGGAGCAGACCAGTTGCGAATGGGAGGCCTTTTAAGATGAACTTTGGATGCCGCTTGGCTTTCGTGGAGATGTGGTTCAAAACTGATTGGCTGCGTCGCAGGTGGATAAAGGAGAACCATGAGTTTCTTCAGTTGAACTTCCACCTAGGCTCCAAATGTCATTAGTGCATTACTGTAAGCAGCTGAAAATTTGTAAATTGTAAATTTTTTTTTCATGTCTGAAGAAGAAGGAGCTCTCTCGACTGCAATTAGTGCAAAACTCTAAAGTGAGAATTCTGACCCGTACAAATAGGAAGACTCATATATTCTTGAATCTAAAAGAGCTTCATTGGCTGCCAGTGTCACATAGGATCATGTTTAAAATTCTNTCATTCGATTTCATCCTGGACACTACAGAAAATGGGCTTAAAGTGTAAAAAACCGAACTTCTCCTTTAAACTTACTCTCTCCCCAAAATTCATAAAAAGGTTTAATTTAACTTCAGGAACTCTAGTTTTTACTGAAGTTTGAAAATACAGAGTAGAATTTTTGACCAATACTCTAATAGAGTTTACTGCACCAAAAAGTCACTTTTTTCAGTACAGAGTGTTCTTACTGCATTATCCAGCTTTATCTCTCAGCATATTCAGACTCCACATGTGATGATGAGGATAAAAGAACTGGCTGTTCAAATGAGTGGAGCTGGCTCACAATTGTAGGTGTTACGTGTTGTATGTTAAACTTATAGAACTAAGATTTTTGCGAAATTCCACTTTGCATTTGTGTGTGCAGTACTCAAGGACCGGTAAATAACTGACATCTATGGATTTCATTACTAAAGAGTGACTGAAAAGGTTGGTTGGACAGTGTCCAAACACTGTTGGATCTTGTTCAAATCTAACAGCAAAAAGAAAAAAATAAATACATGCCATTTACATTGCTAGAGGCCTATAGAAAACATTGGTTATTGTCCCTGATGATTCAGTCACAGGGAATAAAAAGTACTTGGTTGATTTAAGACAATCTGCTTAGCCAAGTCTTAGAAACTTGGGAGTTATCTTTGACAAAGATTTCAATCTGAAAAATCATACAAAGAGAAAAGACAATTAGAAGAAATGTATTCATACAATTACTTTGTCTTTGACCTCTGCAGGAAACATAGTGCTTAATTTTGATAGATATGCATGAACAGGAGCAAAGAATAGGGCTGTTTCCTCCCAGGCCTTAAACTTGTGGTGGAGTGGAGATAGATAATGTTGGTCAGTCTGTAGACTGCTGGTTAGACGGTTTGCTGAGCTTTATGGGGAGATCCAGCGGACTGCGTGAGCTGATACTAGAGCTATACTCAGGGACCTGGAAGATGGAAGTCCAGTTGGATAACACAGGTTGAGAGAACCTGTCTGTGATGAGTAGGCATGAAGAGACAGTGGAGAGGAAAAACTCCCCGTTGGGAAGAAACCTCTGGAAGAACCAGGCTCAACATGGCGGTCTTCTATCAGACCGATTGAGATGAGACGGGGAATGCAGTAAGAGTCCAGGAGGAATGACACTCTGATGAAGCTTTACCTACGATTGTGGAGGAGGGGCTGGAGTTTGGTTGAAACTCAGTCATCTAAATGAAGTCACAGAGCCAAACACCGCCTGCGCACAGGAGCAGACCAGTTGCGAATGGGAGGCCTTTTAAGATGAACTTTGGATGCCGATTGGCTTTCGTGGAGCTGTGGTTCAAAACTAATTGGCTGTGTCACAGGTGGATAAAGGAGAACCATGAGTTTCTTCAGTTGAACTTCCACCTAGGCTCCAAATGTCATTAGTGCATTACTGTAAGCAGCTGAAAAGAAACTGCTTCTTTCAACTAAGGAAAATCTCTAAACTCAGGAATATGGTCTCAAGGAAGGATCTGGAGTTTATAATTCATTCTTTTGTGTCTTCGCTTTTAGACTATTGTAATTTTTTTTTCATGTCTGAACAAGAAGGAGCTCTCTCGACTGCAATTAGTGCAAAACTCTAAAGTGAGGATTCTGACCCGTACAAATAGGAAGACTCATATATTCTTGAATCTAAAAGAGCTTCATTGGCTGCCAGTGTCACATAGGATCATGTTTAAAATTCTACTTATGTCTTTCAGAGCCTTACATGGTCAGGCTCCTTCTTACATCAGTGATCTGATCCAGCCTTACATCCCTGTGCGGGCTCTGAGGCCTGTGGATAAGAATCTGTTGAAGGTTCCACGCACTCGTTTTCGTTCCTTTCAGGTTGTTGCTCCCGGACTTTAAAATCATGTTTGGCCCTCATTGCACTCTATTGACTCTATTGGCTCCTTCTAGAGCTTATTTAAGACCCATTTATTTGTACAGGCTTTTAATTAACTACCTTTTGGGCTGCCATGATTTCCAATTGTCTTGGCCTTTTATATTGTGTGTTTTCTGATGTTTTAAACTATCTTGTGAAGTACTTGTGGCTTTGGTCTGTGAAAGATGCTATATAGATGAAGCTTAGTTACTTACTTAGGATGCTGCTCAAATAAATCTAACCTACAGTAAACACAAAGATGATTAGCATTTAATCACTCTTAAGCTTTCTTTCAAAGTGGTGTCTTGATCAAGCATGGTGTTATCTAATATTTTTATACATATTTTATATATATATGTATATATGTATGCATATATACATCTTTCACATCTTTTTATAAAAATAAAATGATAAAATCCCTTTCTCTTCACTACCAATGACATATACATGTACAGGAAAGTGCCTTAGCTCTACAGCTATAACTACAACAAAATAATTTATGTCTTGCATCGTTTGTGTTCGAACAGTTCACCCAAAGTTAAGTCTTAAATTTATATAAGAATCTGTTGCAAGATTTATAAAATTAACTTCACAAATAGTTTTAATCAAATTTGACTGAGGTTGCAAAAAAGACCTAGCAAAAATGTCTGCATTTACACATACATGTATTGCTACAGTTACTGTACAGAAGAAGAGACGTAAATCATTTTCTGTGTTTAGTTCTAAAAAATATAGATATATAAACATCTTATATTTTTCCCCTTCAAAATTATAAAGTATTTTATGATAATCTATAATTTATATAAGTGTAAATTTGTAACAGTTAAATGACCAAAGGTGAAAAATTCCAATGGGCAATCATTTTGAAAGGTGACGTAAACTAAATAAGATTTTAACATTTGAATTACTTAGTCTGTCTTTTCCCGCTTTGTACTTTAAATATATGTTATGTTAGTTTGCTGATATTATTTTCTTTCACTGTGAAAATTGTCTGGATTTTCAAGATTCTCCCTATTTAATCATTTGCCCATCTATACATGTTAGTATGTATTCATGAGGCAATTGCATCTAGCAGGCTATGAATTATTTAGTGTTTACTCCACAGCAGTTCCATATCACTATAACCAGAATTACAATGTTCAAAGTATTGCTTACATTATCTTTTATCATCAACTTCTGCTCTTTTTAACTAATACACACATTCCAAATTCAATTAAAAAATCATCTTTGCACACCATTACATACATCTACATCGTTTTTATGTATGTATGTAACATTCTTTTTCAGTTTGAATCTGGGTAAGAATGACCAGCTTACTTTCTACGATGGTGACGACCTAACAGCCAACATCCTGGGCCAGTACAGTGGGGCACGGCCACACTTCAAACTCTACACATCCATGGCTGATGTCACCATTCAGTTCCAGTCAGATCCTGCAACTAACATCTATGGCTACAATAACGGCTTTGTTGTTCACTTCTTTGGTGAGAAATATTTTAGTTTTATGTATTAAGATGACAGTTTTTATTTGCATTTGAAGTTAAACATTTTCACATTTGGCAATTACTACCATATATTCTGATTATATTTTGGTGGTGCAAGCATGCCTGTTTTTATATGTTTAATCAACTTTGGGAGTTAAAGGTATAGGGGAGGATATTCCAGAATTTTGTAAAAGAATCACCCTATCCACTTTAAAAAAAATAATGCACGTGCACAACACTGTACCTGCTCCCTAGAGGGAAAGCCTATTAAAGGTGTGTGAGAGCATGCACAAGCCCATTTCTCAGCCATTTTCAAAGAACCGCATTGTGAAAGGTGAGCGTAAATGACTGGCCGAAACAGTAGCTCACCACACATACACGCCTGAATGCGTGCACGCACAGAAAAAGATAGCTAACAGGAGGAGCATGTTCGACTGCCTTACGTAAAAATATCACCAGAATGATTGACAATGAGGAGGACCACTTATTTTGATGATCCACCCAGAAAAAATAAAGTCCTCCCCTACACCTTTGAGTGTGCATCTGTGTTTAGTGTCCATATGATAGTAATATGTTAAAACGACTTCACCTACATATTTAAAGTATATCTTTTGTGGTAGGTCTCTACTACTTTTACACATGTAGAGACTAAAATTTGTGCCACTTGTTTTTTTTTTTAAAGTGGACATCAGTTTTCATCTCTTCATTCTGTAGATTAACTACGCCACTCCACTACATTAATATGTTTTATCTAAAGCCTTTGATAAGAGCTCTGGTTGTAAGTTTCCTGCCAAAAGATGAGTTTTGAACCAAGATTCACTGTTTCTGACAGGTTTTCATCTATGATTAAATTGAGCTTAGCATCATTCATCTTTCTATCCACTCTAACTAACCTAACCATCCTTCCTCTGTTTTTAAACATCTTGATTGACGGTGATCTATTCAAAATTGTTAGCAACCTGATTATTTTCTATGTCTAGAGTGATTTCAATTGTTTTTTAAAAAAATGCATCAGTTTTCTATCTAAATTAACTTTTTTTTTTCTGTACCAAAGCGGCATTCTTTTTTCCGTTTGCATCCAGGCTCAGAACGATTTTCGGCCCTGGCATTTTTCCATCTAAACCTGCCCACCTATGGACCCCAAATAATATTAGCATTAACCTACATCTCTGAAACAAACAAAAAACTGACAAAACAATAGATGTGTGAGGCTGAGTTATGACTTTTAACCATTGCATCTCTCTGCCTCTTCTCTCCCATCTCATACTGTCTCGCTGTCAATCTTCTTTCTTACCTCAGTTACACAAAATTACACAACAGCAAACAAAGAAACACAATAATAGAGCAGACATCAACATCAACTGCTTTTGCATATATTATTTTAAGCTCCTGGCCATCTATGAAGAGATTGATGGCTGTCAAACCACATGCCATCTTCCTTCCAGCACATCACATGCCTCTGTTTAAAATTTCCTCTCTAATAGTGTCTGTTTAGACCACAGCATAACACACACAATTGAGTTTTTATATTCTTCTCCTCAATAGGGTGTTACATATTAATGCTCTCACACTCCTTAAGGCTGTTTAATGCAATTCTGTTTTGTATATCTGTAGGAAAATGCTTCAGTTTTTCTAGTGCTATTATTATTCCTTACTCGGATTACTGCTCAATTGTTAACAGAGGTGCCGAGGAATGACACTTGTCCTGAACTGCCTGAGATCCCCAATGGCTGGAAGAGCACATCCCATCCTGACCTCATCCATGGCACAGTGGTCACTTACCAGTGCTACCCAGGATATGCTTTGGTCGGCTCTGACATCCTCATGTGCCAGTGGGATCTTAGTTGGAGTGGCGATGTGCCAAAGTGTGATGAAGGTGAGAGAAAGCCAAAGGATATCTTCTGAGGTATTCATATGATTGATGCGCTTTGAATGTGTCTGTTTTTAAAGAATTGTGCACACTTGTTATTAATATTCTAAAAAATATATATTTTAGGGCAAAAAACAAATAGAAAAAAATCATTTGGCCTTTTAGGAAAAGACTATATGCAATATTTGCAACCCACTTATTTTATAATTCACAATTACAGGTCAAACTGTATTGCATATAGTCTTTTCCTAAAAGGCCAAATGATTTTTTTTTGCGCTAAAATATGTATTTTTTAGAATCTTAGTAACAAGTGTGCACAATTCTTTAAAAACAGACACGTTCAAAGCGCATCAATCATATGAATACCTCAGAACTTGTTACTAAGATTCTAAAAAATACCGTATATATTTTAGGGCAAAAAAAAAATATAAAAAATCGTTTGGCCTTTTAGAAAAAGACTATATGCAATATTTGCGACCCACTTATTTTATCATTCACAATTACAGGTCAAACTGTATTGCAGACAGTTGTGGTATATTGTACAACAGTACGCTTAGTTTGGCTATGAATAATCATCCATATGTGCTAAATTTATACAATTACTCTATGGTTTTATCACTAAACTCTACTGCTGTCATCCCCACAGGCTGTAAACAAGTCAGAATTTTCTGTTTATTGTGACACAACAGTTCTAACTTGCCGAGACCCAGGAAACGTGGAGCACAGTCGGAAAGTGATCACAGGCACCCGCTTCAATGTCGGCTCTACTGTGCAGTTCATCTGCAATAAAGGCTACGTTCTGTCCGGCTCCAGTCTACTCACCTGCTGCAACCGGGACTCATCAGTACCCAAGTGGAGTGATAGACTGCCCAAATGTGTCCGTAAGTTACTCACATCTATTTTTTGTTAGATTTTAAGTATTTAAGACCTCTAAATCAATCTCTGTTATAAGTATTTTTTTTAAAATGACATTTAAAAAGTTTGTTTTTCTTTCCTGCTCCGTAGCTGAAAAGTACGAGCCATGTAGAAACCCCGGAGGAGGTTCCACCAGCATCCAGAGCTCTGAAAAAGCCTTTTATCAAGCCGGGGAGAGACTCACATTCTCCTGCCATGCTGGCTATGAGCTGTTGGGTGGGGCCACTATCTACTGTGTCCCCGGACACCCGTCACAGTGGAACAGCACTCCTCCTGCTTGCAGAGGTAGAAAAATCATTCTCTTTTTTAGTATTTGTCCAAATACCTAGAATTACACAGCTGCCTGATATCGATTCTGGTGATGTTTGTACGATTATTTTTTACAATTTCTACACCTAAGAGCAGCATGTATGTGTGCGCTGGGCTTTGTTACATCTTGACAAAGACGGTTTTGTGTCTTTGTAGCATCTTCAGCACAGTATGTGAATGAACGAAGGCTCGACGGTGAGCCATGTTACAAACAATCTCAAACCCAGTTAATATTGATATTTCTTTGTTGTGAAAATTGCACTAAATATTGACTGTTTCTCCTCTTCTTTTTTTAGTTGTTAGTATGGATTACAGCATGGAGGGGACCAATATTACCCTTGCCGTTTTTATTCCAACTGCAATCGTCTTGGTGATTGTTCTGGGGATTTACGTCTACTTTGCCAAGTGAGTCATATCTTTAAATTTCTCATACTGCCTTTCGCAATCACAGGAGAGTTTACAGATGTTTTCTTTTTCCACTTTATGCTCAGACTTCAAGGAAAGTCTGTCAGAATGCCAACATCCTCTCCACCATATGACAACATGACGGAAGAGTCGGCTTTTGAAAACCCTATTTATGATAGTGGAGTAAGTACAGATGTCATGAGCATGCAGGACGTTGATTCCCACAACACCAGTGTGCTGTCCTGATCCTCTCCCATCCGTGGCTGTCATCCCAACGTCATCTCATTTCACACCAGCAGAGGGCACCTTCATATTGCATTGCCATACGTAGCATCAGTGAGAGCAATAATGGACACTATCTTTACCCTTTTGTGATCACTTGTTTGCTATCCATTCTTCATCATAGTGGCACTTTGTATTTTCTTATGCACATGTTTCTGTATTGTGATATATCTACTTTGCAGTCATTGTGTTTTTAAACTGTTAAGTTTTACATTTGACCTCACCTCATAATGATGACTGGAATCCCTTTTACTAAACCCCATCTACATCTTCTTTCTGCATGTATTATCTTTTGCCACAAATAAAAAGTATTCATACCCCTTAGACTGTATCTAATATTTGCTCATTTTCACTACCCGTTTTTCAACTTTTGTGTTATTATTTTACAAGATAGCATAAGTTAGATGATTATTCATGATGATTTTCAGTCATTTTTAATTTTTACAGTTTGTCTTTATTTATATTCAACCTACTTACTTTCAAACTCATAAGTAGATCAGCATACCCTCTAGGATTTATAAATAAAAACTGAGAAGTGTGGTGTGTATACCTATGCAGGCCCTTTCACTTTGATACCCTTGCATAAAATGCATTATAGTTACTGCAATCAGATGTCACCTTATGAATAAAAGGACAACTGGTTGCAGCGGGATTGTTTTTTTTTTTTTTTTTTTTTTTGGGGGGGGGATATTAGGATTATTAGAGCAAAGTCATATAATTTCACTGCACATATTTTTTAGTGATTAGTTATTTCTGTTAACATCACAATTATAAACAGATTTGTGATGACATACTTTAAAATATGTATTGTTTTTGTGCAATAAAGGTCCAAGTGGTATGTGTACTTTTACAATTCCCTTTACAATGCATTGTATTAGCAGTTATAAGCTTTCCCCACTATTCTTTTTTTCTCTGCTTCTTCAGCACTGGCAAACCCGTTGTAGATACTAAAGCCTGTCAGTATTTCCACTTTGGCTTTACTGCACAACAGCTACAAGGTGAGAATTCACTTCAACATCAGAATACCAGCATGCTTACTGTTCATTTATTCTCCTGCCAAGGTTTTTTTAATCTTTCCATATATATAAACTAGATTAACGTTTCTGTCTTCTACTCATTATTGTGTTTTTTTCTACTTATTTTCCCTTGAGAAGAGATTTATTGGGATGCCTAAATCGATAATGACATTACAACTTCTAAAAATCCAACTTCAGCTTTAACTAATCAACAATAGGTTTGAGCAGTTAAGTACCGTAATCTGATATTGAGCTTAAAATTTTTTTGATGAGTTCCTTTAACAATTTCTAGGAATCGGATTAGACCCTAATTATTACTAGTTATATCTTAATTTACATTTAACATTCCCCTTAAATATTTTTCCTTCCTGCTCCTCTCTCTTGAAAAAACACTACATCATTTCTGTTAAATAAAAACTGGACAGAGCTTGGCAAACTTTTATGTGACTTATTTGCTCCAGGGAGACATTAATGGCAGTTAAAAAAAAAAAAGGTCAATACAACTAACCACCCAGGCTATCATGGTTTTGGGGCATGACACATAAAGTAAAGATGTTCAGTTCCAAATGCAAAAATGTTTTACTGTTTCTTTTTTTTTCTTTTATTTTGTATTATCATCTAAGAGGACTGATTTGTGCTTTGTGAGCAAACAATTTTAAATAGCAATACATAGCAGTAGGCTATTTGGAATCTGATTTGAAGTTTCCAACTTGGATTAAAGGGCTATTTTAATGTGTTTTTGTTAAGTGAATGTTGCGTAACTGACCATTGTTCAGAGTCTGAAATAAAAACACATCTATTCAGAGCATAACTGAGCATAACTGTACAGACGTTATCTAAAACACAGTTTAAGAGTAATAAAACATTAACTCATTAAGAGAAACATAAAAAATAACATAAGTTGGGGAGGCTGCAGAAGGAAAATGTTTGCCCAAGGCACCATTAAACCAAGACTTCCCTTCGATGTAAATGCTAGATTATTGTTTCTTTACCTACTCTTTCATAGACAGCCTAATGGCGTCCATAATAATCCCCAAAAGCATTTATTAACCACTGATTTATTCTTATGTAATTACATTATAATGA